TATTGTGTTTATTGTATATTTGGACTAAAACTTGAGTTTTAAGATTCCTGATACCAGAGGAATGACTTAGGAGGAGTTTGTAATTTCTACTTAAGAATTCTACTTCTTGATGTTAATGCTACAATATTCTTTAAATCAAATTGAATAGAGCTGCATTTAGGACAAGGGGTGCTCAAAAGACAAACCTGAAATTATGGAAAAAGGGGAGAGTGAATAATGGTTTTTAATGTTTCACATCATTTGTTGGACAAAAAGACAAAAGACTTTTCTTTAGTTTTCGTTTGGAGACAATAAATCCAGTTTACCATGAAATGTATAATCAATATGGGAGTTATTGACAAATCTTCAAACAAAAGCAAACAACCTAACAATTCAATAAAGAAAAAGAAGTGTTTTGTTGTGCAAACTGTATTTCATGTTAAAGGTATGATGAGTAGATAGAACATTCTTATGAAACCAGCCAATGCTTTCAATAAACAGAAATCTGAGAAGTGTGTATGTATTTAAAGTCGCTTTGTGGAATTGAATCTTAACCATTGTCGTAATTTCCACTTCTGCGCCCACACTTCCTTTAAGATGCTAAGTTTAGACGCTGGGTTTTTGATCGGGGGGAAACCGAACACAGCTCTTCTCTGTTCTTTGTTAACCATAGTGTTTACCAAGGTATTAGTTGTTTAATGTGCAGAAAACTGATAGCGTTTTTTTTGGTTTAAAACAGATGTTTTAAGGATATTAAAATAATTTATCTGCCAAAATAAAACAACCTCAGACTGTGTCACGTCTGAAATTTTCCCCGTGGTACCACATATGTCACACTTTGATGACAGACAGACTGTGGCAAGATGACGGCATTGAGAGCTGGAAATGTTCAGATCATATCAGCTGTAAGTCTGTCTGGCCTCTCATGCATATCCCACACATGACAGGAAAGCACGATGAAGACAGGCCCTCGGGTTGCCCACGTGGAAACACTGAAACGGAGATCTGTGCTGAAGAAGCAGACAGAAAAAGAAAGTTGTTTTTCTTGCAGCTTTCATCAAGCCAAATCCGTCTGCTTTAATGAACAAACTTTCTCGCTGGTTTTCGTTTCTGGTTTCCTATGTTGTAGCTCAGAAAAGAATAGAAAGTAGGTGAGGTTGTGAGTGAAGGTGATGGTAGTGATGAGCTCTGTCTTTGAAGAAATTTGACGTCCCTCTACGAAGATTAAAATATGCTTCACCCTTAACGCCTAAATATTAGTTCCTCTTTCAAGTGAAGGTCAGACATTTAAATTTCACATCAATCAATCAATCTAATTGTATTTGTGTAGCCCATTTTCATGACAATCACAATTTGTCTCATAGGGCTTAAAGGGGTAGTTCACCCAAGAAGGAAAATTCATTATCTACTCACCTCTATATCGATGAAGGGGTGGGTGAAGTGTTTGAGTCCACAAAATACTTTTGGAGTCCAGGGGTGAACAGCATTACAGCCAGATCCAATACAATTGAAGAGAATGGTGACCACTTCTTCAAACGTAAAAAGAAACAAAGACAAAAACATAAATTGCCTCCATACTGCTCCCGTGGTGTCAATCAAATGTCCATAAGCCCTGACATTCAAATTAGAAACGGTGTAATTTACAACGGGTTCAAGAAGTTTTGTGAATACGTTTGTGACATAGACAGATCAACTTTGTGTTTCACTGCAGAATAAAATGATCTTTCACCTGAGTTTGAATGTTTATCTGTTGAATTTATGTCACAAACACAAAAGAAAAGCACTCCAGTGTTTCTGTCGACCAAATCCATTCTTCTCTTTAAAAAGTTTTTATTGTGAAATATTTGCAGGAGCTGAAGGTGCATGAATTCATACTAAAATAATAAATATGACCTTCCTATGTGGGTTTTTTGCAAGACATCGTGGTGGTAGATCTCGGCTCACGTTTTGAATTTAAAAGTGATCTTGTGCTTTAAAAGGTTGGTGACCACTGGCCTAAAGCATGGTGTAAATTACCTTGTTTCGAGTTGAATTTGAATGTGGGGGCTTACAGATACTTGGATGACATCACAGTTCTTGTTTTTTACATTTGAAGAAGTGGTTGCCATTTACTGCAATTG